TGTGTGTGTGTGTGTGTGTGTGTGTGTGTGTGTGTGTGTGTGTGTGTGGGGGAGGGGAAAATGCTTTTAAAAAAAAAAATCAAGCCTTCTAGGGTCGAAACACAAAGCAATCAAATGAAGAACAGGAAGTACCCGTGTCTGGGCCATTGTTTAGAAACATTCTAAAATGGTCTCGAACATTTTTCACTTTTTACGCTGTCCCCTTTGTTGTCTCTTCATCACGTGCCCTCCTCCAACTTCAACTTTTTTTTTTCTTTCTTTTTAATCTTCTCCCTCTCTCATCTCACATAACATCACTCAGCTTTGCGCTCTTCTCGCCTCACCTTTCTTTGCCTTCCGGCCCTCTCGCTTCTTCCTCCTTCTGTCATCTTCTACATCCTGTCATCTCCTTCTTTTATCTCCTGCTGAGGGCCCCAACGCCTCCCGAATGAGAACCTACATGCAACGTCTTGTGGCCCCCAATGATGGGTGTGGAGATGTTCATGCGTGTGTGTATGTGTTAGCTTCCACGAATACTGACGGTGAGGTGTTTGGAATTTGGCAGTGTGGTGCAGGGTTGACTTGTAAGGGGCCAGCGGGTGGGGGGGGGGGGCTCGCGCAAGCCCCCTGACCCGGGTCACAACACCGTTCACGTTTAACCATTTGACCAGGTGACATCATCACGAAAAATAAAAACAGTTCTTTCAACAGCTTTGGGCTCACTGCTCCTAGAATTGCCAGTCTGGACAACATCACGACAACAATCAAATGCTTATGTTTTTCATTTCAAAAAACTCTTGACAGAGGTAATATGTCATCCAAACCATATTTTCTGAACTTTTCGCTTCCTGGAGCTGAAGTGTCCTTTCGACCACGTAGTGTTGAATATAGCGTAGTGTGTGTGAAAAATACTTGACTTTTCACATTCCCTCTCCATTATCCATTATGAGTAACAATTTTGAGTGGAGTTCCTCAGGGAAGTGTTTTAAGTCCTCTTGTTCTGCTCGCTATTTTCCAAGCAGACACAAGGACAAAATACTGCGATGTTTCACATCGATGTCTGTTGCGATACAGAATGATTTTGGACGATTTTGCACATTACATTTGAACTTGACGCTTACTAGGTTCTTTCTATGGGTAAAATCACAAAAAAAAAAAAAAAAAAAATGACTGCCAAAATTGCTGAAATCAATTTTGGAAATGACTTGTTTTTTAGGGGACGGTCCGTTTTATGCAAATGTAGTCTTGCTACCATGATGACTGGGGCGGAGCTAGGGGATGTGACTTTTCTGACACACCCAGTGAACATTGTCCCTTGTAAAAAGTGAGCACCAAATCTACGACCATTTTTTTTTTTTTGGGTGGTATTTTCGGGGATCATCCAGAGCAGGAGATGTTCACCCCTTCTGCATCCAGACTGAAAATGAATCGTCCCCACCGGCTAATTCCACCGGTTGTTTATTGTCACACCGTGCTGTCTGTTGTCACTGACCTGACGACGGCGCTCTCTCTGTCCTCGCTTCGCAGGCCTTCGGCAACGCCAAGACGGCCCACAACAACAACTCCAGCCGCTTCGGCAAGTTCATTCAGGTCAACTACCAAGCCAGTGGCACTGTTCGAGGGTAAGCCCCGACTTTGAATCGACTCGAGTATGAGACTCAAAATAACGACAAATCAAAATATTCAAAAGGAAAAAACAAGTCTGCAATTCTTAAAAATTGATGCGTGTGTGTGTGTGTGTGTGTGTGTGTGTGTGTGTGTGTGTGTGTGTGTGTGTGTGTGTGTGTGTGTGTGTGTGTGTGTGGTTTCAGGGCCTACGTGGAGAAGTACCTGTTGGAGAAATCTCGTCTGGTCTACCAGGAGCACAACGAAAGGTAAGAGGCGGTGATTACACGAGTCCCTTCGGCACGCCCCTTCGGCACGCCCCTTTTTGACTCGAGCGAAATAACCGCAAGTGGGCCTGATTACCATCCTGGCGCTGCTTGTCGACGTGTTTGTTCAAGTGGCCGCTGACGCGCTTGCTGACCGGCGGTGTGTCATGTGTAGGAACTACCACGTTTTTTACTACCTGCTGGCTGGAGCCAGCGAGGATGAGAGGAAGTCGTTCCACCTGCTCCAACCTGAGGAATACCACTACCTCAACCAGGTCAGCACGCATGCGCCTTCCTGACGCACTCGGCCCCTTTGACTTCCACTTTGCTTTCCTTCTTGGTGAATAGGATCATCCGTTTTGCCTTCTCTCCTCCCCCCTCTCCTTTGCCTTCTTTGCTAGCGCCTTCCTTCCCTCCTTCCTTCCTTCCCTCTTGTCTTCCTTCCCTCCCTCTTGTATCTCTCCTGCCTTCCTCCCTCGAACTTCCTTCCTTCCTTCCAACCTTCCCTCTTGTCTTCTCTCCTGCCTCCCTTCCTCGACCTTCTTTACTTCCTTCCTTCCTTCCTTCCTTCCTTCCTTCCTTCCTTCCTTCCTTCCTTCCTTGTTAGCTCTTCTCTTTCCCCCTCTTCCCTCTTTCATCTTTGCTTTTTTTCTTTTCCCCCTTCCTTACTTTTCCCTTACTCACGCCTTCTTTAACATCCCCGCAGCAGGGCTTCTTTTCGAAGCCGTCGCTTTGCTTTTTCCATCAATCCCGTCTGACTTCCCTTTCTTCTTTCCTTCCCCCGTTCCTTCTTGGCTTCTCTCCTCCCCCTTTGACCTTCTTTGCTTTCTTCCTTTCTTCCCTCCTCCCTACATTTTTTTTGTCCCATCCCATTTACCTGCTTTCCTTTGTCCTTGACTTCAACCATTTTCCCCTCCTCATTCCCACTGTCTCCCTTTCTATCTTCTGTACTTCCCCCTCGCCCATTTACCTCTTCTCACTTCATCCTTCTCTTATTCTCTTCTCTCTCTGTCCTCTCTTCCCTCCACATTGATGACATCCCTCCTTCTTTCTTTCCCTCTCTTCAGTCCTTTTTTCTTCCATTCTGGCATACTTGTTTTTTCCAGCTCCTCTCTTGTTTTCCGTCTTTCATTCTTCCTGTCCTCCCTCCGTTATTTTTGCTCTTCCTTGTCTTCTCCATCTTTTTCTGCCCACTATCTAGTCCCCCTTCCTTCCTTCCTCGTGCCCACCCGGCGAGTCCATTCCATTTCACATTGATTTATGTACTTATTCATGTTTACTCAATTGGAGCACCTTGCTGCAATCTGTGGCGTCGGTTGCATCAGCGGACTCCTTCCGAGCCCTCCCCGGCGTGGTTGTGCGCGCGCGTGCCACATTCCCTCTTAGCTTGCCCGCACACAGGGAGCGCCCCACAAAGACAAACGTCTGTTCGTCATTTCGGGTTTCTACCAAGACAAGTATCACTTCCCCTCATCCCACGTCACCTTGCGAATCCTCACATGTGCCTTCCGCATCTTCCCAATTGCGTCTTGTTACTATGAGGTGCTGTTTCCATGGTAACAGAACGACTCGCGCCGTTCAGCTCGCGTGCCGAGGCCGCTGGCAGTCGACTATGTTTGTGCGCCTGTGTGTTTGTCGCGCACGCACGCACATGCACACACGTTCATCCATATTTAGCATTTTCCTCCAGATTTGGTTGCCAGCGTGTTGGTGTACGTCCCTCTCTGTCCATCTGTCTCAGGGTTCCATCTCAAATATGCCTTTCGCTACATTTTCATATACTTTTACTCGCAGTTGATTCATTCCCACCATTTTTTTTTTTATCTCATTGTGATAAAACTAAGCCGGTGACATTGCACACCATTGTTGGAATTTGATTCCCGCGCAAGCTCTAAAGTGCAGCATCTGCCATGAACTTCTTACCTGGCCGCAAATGTTTTTCTTCTTTTTTGATGTTACTTATTCCAGAAGGATGAGTTTCATCATTTTTATTTTCGTCACATCTCGCTCGTTGAAGGCTCGCCATCGATTTGTGCCAGTCTGCTGTTTTCATATTGACCCGGCGAGTCGTGTTGTCGTGTGTGCGGTTGAGACCCCGCTAACGCACTGTGCCTCACTTGCAGATGACAAAGAAATCGCACAAACTCCGCTGGGACAATTGCTATGAGAGCGAGCTGGTCAGTATATCACGCCTGTGTGTACGCGTGCGCACGGAGGTGTGGGTGTGTGGTCCCGGCCCGATCTCAGCCGCTCGCGCCCCGTACGGCGCTGCCGCCCCCTTTTGATGGGATATCCTAACCCTTACAAACTGTTCATTCGTTTTCATGCGCACGTCACAGAATACGTTTCGGCTTCGTTTTGAACCAGGCCAAGAATATCCAAATTTATCCAGAACGTTTTGTAAGGGTTAATAAAGCGAGAGATATAATCTCAAAGATGTTGTTTGTCACCTCTGATTTGCATGCGCAATAAGGAAACCCCCCACGAATCCCTCGAAAGCCACTTGAAGTGCTGTCCCGACCGGAAACCGCCGTCTTAAAGTGGGGGAGGGTTCAGGACTTTGTGGATCAACACTGCACACAATATGTTCGATTTTGTCCCGTTTCTCAATGACATTCTCTTTCTTTTTGGTGGGTTCCTGTCCTGAACCTTCTTCCTTGCTTGAGTCCATTTGCTGTGCAAGATCTTTCCATTCGCTTCAATAATTTTGCTCTTTGGATCGTGTCACCCCTTCTTGTCACTTCTTTCATTTTAATTCAACGGTGACATTTATTGCTCTTTGCGTAAATGTACACAAAAAGAGCTCATCTCAAAGAGCAAACCTTGTTTGGATGCGTTTGGTTGTGGGCCGCCTCAGTCTGACGCGCGTTTCACTGTTTTTGTGCTCTTGTTTTGAATGTCCGTGCTGTTAGCTTGAGTGGAATGTGTCGGCAGGGTGCGATGCATTATTATCATTTTTTTAATTGAGCTTTTGTTGTTGTTGTTGTCGGTGCTGTCATGTGGGCGCGTTCATTTGAGCGCCAGTCATGATTAAGGCGAAGTAAAGTTTCCACCAAGCTGTCCAGCCCAACTTTTGAAGGGTACAGTAAATCCTGAAGTGGTTTGTGTGTGAAGGCAGCATGGTGACACAGAGCGGAAGTGCGGTGTTTCCCAACCTTTAGTCAGCCAAAGCACGTATTTTACATTTTGAAAAAAAAAAAAAAAAAAAAGCTCACTGCACACCAACAAACAAAATATTGAATTCTTCAGCCCGCCATTACATCTTGGTCATTTGCTCTCAAGTGATACAGAACGGTTCTGGAGGTACGTTGATTTTGGACGACATGCTGTCGAAATTCAGACATAGTTAAGATGACCATTGGGGGAATCAATTGACTATTCTATTGATCCGAATAACTGGCACGGGAGTTTTTTTTTTTTTTCTCATGCTGAAATGGATAGCGTGTTTCAGAGTTTTAGCTAGCAGGCTAATTATTGTACTTGGCTCAATGATTCCAAGACAACCAAGCTATAAATAAAAATAGCCCGATGATGTCACTTTGGTTCCCAGTTTGTTCATAAATTTAGTTAAGAGATGGAGAGCGGGGAGAAAATGTTTTACAAAACAATCCATATTTATTAATATATCGCTTTCACAACGGCTGCAGCTGTAACAAAGCGCTTTACAGAACAGTTAACATGAAATAACAAAATAATATAACTCAAAACGTAAGTCACGGAGAGTCGTGCAATCTTTACCACTTTCCCTGCATACGTTTTGGTATCGATCTTGCCTCGTCCGAGCAGCCTAACCTCAAAACGTTCAGCATCGAATGCTAACGTGTAGCCACTTAGCACCCGATCAAGGTTGGGAAGCGGCTCGCTCAGCAGTCCCATTCAACGTCTGGCAGTCAAATGTGGAAGTGAGCATTCTCAGGCCGCCATTCAACCCCCTGCTCTGTTCTTTTTCTTCCCTTGTTGTTGAGAATCCGTTTCAACCAAAGTAAATGTCAGCGCTTGGTGGAAACTGAGCCGATGACGATGGCGAACCCGACTTTGCAACGTCAGCGGCGTAATGCAGCAAACTCAACCAAGTCTTTGTTTTCCAATCTGTCAAAAATAAACCCGCCGTTTCCTCATCGTGCCTTGACTTGACTGCAGTTTGTTTGTCCAATGATCTTGTTGACCAGAGTATTGGCAAACAAACATGAACGTGAATGTATCGCATTGTGTTGTTTGGCACCGCCGTCCGAGTGCAGCCTGCGCTTTGAAAAGTGGCTCGATTGTTCTCCGAGAGGAAACAATGTGGGGAAGAAGGAGTTTTGGGATGTGAAGAGCGGGCTGCTTGTGTTTTCTTGAGCTAGCCCATGACTCTGCTTTGCGATGATCACATTTTTAAATGTTCTTCATTTCTTAAGTCAAGAATTGAAAAATGTTTTTTTCTTTACTCGATTTGAGCCACTCCCGAGTCGTCATGTTGGGATGCCGTTCTTAATTTTATTTAATTTTTTAAATTAAGCTAATCAAGTCAGTTTGGCTGCGCTTGTATTTTCTTCGCAATGCATTGCTGAGGTATCGTATCGAGGCTCCCTAATCAGCGGATACTTGAAAACAAATGAGTGCAGTGGGTGCAAAAAATTGCGATCCTGTATTATTTTGCCGAGCAAAAAAGCCCTTTCTCTCTCTTTGTTTCTCTCTTTGTTGTGTTTATAGTTTGAGGTGTCACAAAAGCAACAAAGGTGTTGTGAGTTGCAAAAGAACACAACAAAAGTAAAAGCTTGATGGGAACTTTTTGGGGATGGAAGAAGAAGGGAGTCATATTGTCACATTCCACCGCTAAACATTCTTCATTGCCACACAGGTGCAAAAAAAAAACAAAAACGAGTTTTGGACTAAGTGTCTAAAATTGAAACTAAAAAAAAAATGGGTGCAAATGTTAGGTGTGGGTATGTTTATTTCAGTTGTTTACGCTGCCGCCTGGGGATCCAGCAGGCCTTCTTTGTTGATATCATCTTGAAGATATTGTCTAACGTGGCGTGTGGATCAGGGGGAACAAAAAAAAAAATAGGAAAAAAAAAAAACGATCACGTCTTCCTGTCTTCCGGTGTGTGTTTGCGATACCAGCAGGACTGCTTCAGCGTGGAGGGCGAGGACTTGAAACACGACTTTGAGCGTCTGCAGCTGGCGATGGAGATGGTCGGCTTCCTTCCCGCTACGCGCAAACAGTAAGGCCGAGCGAGCGAGAGCGCCTTGACGCGTGCGGTTTTGGAATACTTAGCCGGGAGCCGCAGCGTGATTGTGTGCTGCCGCTGGCTACGGGATGCCAGAGTGAAGTGAATCTGCAGATATTTAGCCTACAAAACATTTTTGTGGCCGCGTATTACCAGCTCAGCACATTGCGGTTGCCGCCATGGCGACTGGATGGAGGATGAGAGCAGTCAATCACGTGTTCGCTCGTTCGTCGTTGGCCTCCGTTGCGTCTCTGCAGCTGCGAAGTATAACCGGACTCAATGTCAGATTTTGGCCCGTGTTGCGCAACCAATCTTCTTCTTTGTCTATTGGCGGCTAAATGTTGCAAAAGACACTGCGGGGGGCGCGGCACAATCTTTTTAATTTGAGGGCGACCTACCGAACCATCAAAGGACGCGAGGGCCACTTTGACACGTCGCTAACTTCCACTAAACCCGCTGAAACCAATCCGTCAAGGAATTGTTTATTGTTGTTGCGTAGCTGGTATCAAATCAAAGGATTTTCAAAAGAACTCTAAAATGAGCCTGCTAAGGGATGCCAGAGTTGGAGTTCTGCGCTCCCTCTTACGAGCACCAGTCGAGAGGCGAGCAGCGGCATTCTGGACCAACTGGAGACACTTCATGGAGGATTAGCTGACTCCAAAATCAAGTGCGTTACGGGAATCCAGCCGAGATGTGACGAAAGCGTGAATGACTGTAGCAAATTGCTCTTGAGAAAGGAGAGGCCCGACTCGTACTGAGTAACTGGTTAAGTAACTTCTGATGAATTTATCATTTAAACTGCGGCACAAACATCCAATGGACATACGTAGTACAGTACAGCACCGACATCGCCAGCGTGACAAGTGAAAGACGGGCAAGTTCATTGATTGATTTTCCCAACAACAAACAATAAACCAATAATTAGCAAAACAAAGGCTAGCCTGCTAGCTAACACCAGCTCAATAAGATGTCAAAACAGCGCAGCTGAGCCACTCATCCAAGTAACAAAATAAAAAAAAAATCTTTTATTCTGTTGAGCTGGTGTTAGCTAGCAGGCTAGCCTTTGTTTCGCTAAATTATTCAAACTCAATGACGGAGGTTTGGTTCCCCGTCTGCAGCTCCTACGTCTTGTGATCTTCCCCGTTCACTTATTTACGACAGTCACTAAATTTATTGTACTCATCCGTAGCTTCCCAATGAATTATTGTTTCAATACGAGTCTCTTCTCTCTCTCTCCCTCCCCCGCCAGGATTTTCTCGCTGTTGTCGGCCATACTCCACCTGGGCAACATCCGTTACAAGAAGAAGACCTACAGGGACGACTCCATCGACATCTGCAACCCCGAGGTCCTTCCCATCGTCTCGGAGCTGCTGGAGGTGAGCGTGTTTTAATTGCTTGCAGCGTTCTTGCTACAGCGCGGTGGTACCGACTCAAAAGATTTGAAGCCTTCTTGGGATACGTCTCAAGGGAATAACGCTGCACACGTTTGGATTTTTGTGACACTTTTTTTTTTTCCCCCCTGAAAAGTGACAATGACTGTGAAGTCTTTTAGTCCAGGTGCAAATCGCGTGTGATCCTAAAGCTAATGTTATGTACGTAATGTTAAGACTAAAGCTAATGTTTTTCAGTCTGGTGTGTGTTATGTGACATCACATTCCAGGGCTGTACCACAGTGTTTTTTTTTTCTTCCTTCTGAAGACTTTTTTTTTTTTGCGGGGGCAGGGGTTGGCTGCTTTTTTTTTTTTTTTTTTCCCCCCCCCCAAGTTATCCCGTGATGTATGGCCCACCCATGAGGCATAATAACCACACAAATGTGTGTGACTTGAAAAAAAAAAGAAGAAAAAATGTCCGCCTGTGTGTCTCTTCGGACAAGGCCGGCTTGTGGTGACGGTAGAAGCGAAGAGGTGCTTGACAACAGCCAAGCTTGAAACCCTACTTTTAAACCTTCATCAAATTTTGTCGCTTCCCGGTGGCTCCATGAGGCGGTTGTGTTTGTTGCGGCTCTGCGCAAACAATGTCAGAAGTGTTCCGGAGGTTTCTGTCAACGGGCCAGGGGAGATGTTTTGATTTCGTGAATGCCACAACTGGAAAAGTGGCTTGGGAGTCTGCCAACATTCACTTGAAACCCTAATTTGGGTTTCTAACCCTAACCCAAGCTTAAAACCATCACCCTTGTTTGAAACCTTAACCCAGGATTGAAACCCTACTCTCAAACTGGCTTGGGAGTCTGCCAACATTCACTTGAAACCCTAATTTGGGTTTCTAACCCTAACCCAAGCTTAAAACCATCACCCTTGTTTGAAACCTTAACCCAGGATTGAAACCCTACTCTCAAACCCTAACCCCGGATTGAATCACCAACCCGCCTTGACGCCATGTCACCCTTGTATGAAATCGAAACCCAAGATTGAAATCATTGCTTGAAACCTTAACCCTACTTGAAACCTTGTTTTGAAACCCCAAGCCTTTTGTTTTTGAAAGCTTAATATGAAAGCCTCATAAGACCTTCCTTGAATTCCTAATTTGAAACCTGAACTTGGCCTTGAAACTGGACATGACAACTCTCGCCCTTGGGTGAAACCCGGACTTGAAATCCGAATCGTGGAACATTGACACTATGATTATTTTTGAAAAGCCACACATACCCTGACATATTTTAAAGTGATTACGAACTATGGCGATGCCACTGATTTTGTTGCATTTTATTTATTTATTTATTCATTTTTTGACACATGTTTAGCAAAATCAAAGAAGTACAATTACGAACTTAGAACAAAAGAACATTGGAGCCGGACTTGAATGTAAGCTGCCCTTGGATCCGTTTTGACAAGCGCGTGTTTATTAAGGGATTAGCCCTGTGATCTGCGCTACCAAGCAACTAATGCATTGCAAATATCAACCAATTGCATTGCAGCATCCAGAGTGGTCTTTGCTCCTTGCGCAAGGATTAGCCCGCAGTGTGAAATGAAGTCTGATAATGCCCTCACACACACACACACACACACACACACACACACACACACACACACACACACACACACACACACACACACACACACACACCCACAGGGTCTCGAAAAAATCCACCGGCGGCCGTGTCATCCATGGCTGGTCCTCCGCCAAGTTTGGTCTGCGGTTCAGTGGGAGCATGCCAGGAATACTCCAGCCGGAAAGCGGCAAGGAGGTTCCTTGCTTAGTTCGGGATGAGTAACTGTGGGGCTTCGCGACGACCGGCTGAATTAGTAACATACCAAGAGAAAACAAACAAAAACAATGATGACGGAAAAGGTTTTGCTAATCTCAAACCTTCATTTTACCCGTTGCAAATACGGTTGAACTCCGCATACTTGTGGTTCAGAACCCATGGACTCACCTACTCACAGATTTAAATTTAATTTTTTTTTTTGTCAATGCAATAATAACAGTAGATTGTATTGAATCGATTGCCATCTCCTTTACCCCACTGCACAGGACACCACTATGTTGAAATCCTAAAGCCTTAATTTGAAACCTTAACTCTTGTCACGTAACGCGCAGTCAAGCCCCGTTTTGTTTTTGTCACCCCCTGTAGGTGAAAGAGGAGATGTTGCTGGAGGCGCTGACCACCAGGAAGACGGTGACCGTCGGGGAGAGGCTCATCGTGCCCTACAAACTTGCAGAGGTGACACATACGGACACATATCAAAATTCTCGTTTTACTGCTTTAGTCACCTGCAAGACACACAATCCAGCCCAAAATAATGGATGCTGGCACATTGTGATGCATACGTTTCTGCACAACATTGTAAAATTATGACAAGGGAACTGGGAATAATTTTTCACAGGTTATTAAATAAAAAAAAAAAAACTTTTCTGTGTTGATATCACAGTTTTTGGCATTGACAACAAACTAAACCTACGGGCTCCGTATAAAGCTCATGGAAATTGTTTAAGAAATGAGCAAGTTATGACTGAATTTCGACGTCAGCCCATTGCCTTTGCCGCGAACATTGTCGCCCCCAACATGGCCGCCGCGTAGGCATGTCAGTTACCCAGGCTGCTACGTCACGCCATGCTAGCTAACGGACAAACAAATGGCACGCTGCAATTTTTGTTATTGGAATGCGATTTCTCTTCATGACCTTTGAGACACGATGAAATTTATTCCCCCCTGCCCCAGAGTCCAAATTGGTACGATCCGGCTATCTTAATTAGCCTGCTAGCTGACAAACATTTGGTTAAGTGCGACCCATTTTCTCCTCTTGCACTTTGACCCTCCATGAGTGCCATTCTGTACGTGACAGAAAGTCATCCAGTCTCTCTTGACTGATCTTAATCGCAATCTGAAGAGACTTGATGGCGTTGGTGTGTCGCGACTGAAGCACAACGCCGCCTCGCACCCGATGACAACCTGTTGTTTTGTGACAAAGCGCGTCAAGCGTTGATTGTATTCGTGCGCTTCCTCACGCTTGTCAGGGGGGGAGTTTTTCATTGTGGCCCGACCCGCACGCGCAAACTCTTCTACTCCCCCCCTGCGACTTCCCGTTTCCTGTCGTGCCAAGCAGGCGTCTTTGTGGACTCGCCCCGCCCACTCGGATGTGATGTCCGGCCCACGCGGACCACTTTTCGGTCGCGAGAGTTCATCTAAAAGTAGGCGGTTACTGTGCGGAATTTAATTTGGCGCTAACGGCTGCGGGGCTTTTTTTTCTTTTCTCTGAGGAAGGAAGTACTCCACACAAACACAGATACACAGTCTGCTTAGCCGACCACCACCCACATGCACATCTGATCTGTGCACCAACAATAGTCGCTCACAAGCTGACCCGTCTGCCCCCCGCCCCCACCCCCTCCCTCCATTCTTGCAGTCATGTGGTCTTGTCTGAGGAATGTGAAGCCTCCACTGGAATACGCAGTCCTGACAAAGCGCTATCACTGTAACTTTCCCTCAGCTCAGGGGTCGGCAACCCAAAATGTTGAAAGAGCCATATTGGACCAAAATAAACCAAAAGCAAATATGTCTGGAGCCGCAAAAAATTTTAAAAAAGCCTGATAATGAAGGCAACACATGCTGTATATATGAGCTATATTAGCCTGCTAGCAACACAACTAAGGCGGCTACAAATACACAACGAGCATTCATGATTAAACAAAAATGCCAGAACGGCCGCTAAGATGAACGAGGCACGGGATGCACTTTCGCAGCGTGCTAACTATCATAGCTCGCGTGTACCGTTTAAAAATGCTTCTATTGGCCGCCCAGATTCCCATTTTAAGCAAGTACCTTCGATTATTTTTTTTTTGTTTTGTTTTTACAACAGCCCCCTGATTGACACCCCGCCCTGCTAATAGAAACGTGTGTCGCAGGCTATGACGCAAATATTCGTTGACGAAATGTTGACATTTAATATTTATTCAGCACATTTTTACAGCATCGGAAAACGTTAATAATGTCGGTTTCATGTTTGTCCTCTGACAGAAACCATATCAAAACAAAAAAAATATATACTTCACTCCCATCTTTTTCCATTTTCAAATATTTTTCAAAAAGCTCTAGGGAGCCACTGGAGGGCGCTAAAGAGCCGCATGCGGCTCGAGAGCCGCGTGTTGCCGACCCCTGCCTCAGCTGACTGAAAAGGCAGACTGGTTGCTTTCTTTGAAAGCCGGACAATTAATCGACTTACATCGACGTCGCTATGTATTAGAATTGAAAATGCACGTTTGAATTTGTCATGGCTAAAATTTGGGGATATATAGATGTGCTTGTTGTGCCGGGGTTATCTCATGGAGATGCATTCCCTCAACGAAAAGAATTTAGCAAGGAAGTGAAGAATAACCTTCAGCGTTTGCATCACAACTGAGTTCCCTTGAAACCGCCCTGATGATGTTTCTGCTTGAATTATTCACAGCCTTCTTGCATAACTTGTCTGTAGCATCACAGCCTGAGCGGCTAAAAATACCACAAAGAATCAATCATGCAAACATTGCCGCTTGTTTTTTTTTTTTGTTTGTTTTTTCCTTGTTTGTCTAAATGCATTTTTTTTTCCTCTCGGTTGGGCAGGCCTCAGCCCCAGTGAGTCACACGCAGTCCGCCGTCCCCGCGAAGCACCGTGACAAATATTTGCTTTTGTTTGTTTTTCATTCTGTGTGAATTTGCGTTTGAAAAACAATAGTGAGCTGTTGTTGGGGAGGCAAAATAAACAAATAAGGCTGCAAACGGCTCACTTAGTGAGATCACCACAACAAAAAGTGGGGTGCGTGTGTCCATGGTGAGACTGCCCACGCTCAAATTGGTTCAGATGAAATCATTGCTCGTTATTTTTAGCTTTCAGAGTCATTTCACTTTTAACCAGACATTCTCTCACTTTCCTGCGCAGTCTGTATCGTGGCTGGCTGGGCTTGTCTCAATCTTTATAATTATGATGATGATTATTTTTGTGAAAATTATTATTGTCGCATCACTGTGATTTTCACCAAGCACAAATTTAATGGAAAACAGGCCTAATTCGATAAATATGTTATGTTGCAATCTGTTGTTTTTTTGGTGTTGTCTTGAAGGCTGTAAATATTACATCGAGGAATGAAATGTCATACTCATAACGCCGATGCCAACTGCAAAGCCCAACCCAGAACCGCAACGTCTCCACATTTGGAATAATTCTTCAAAAAAGAGGCACGGGTCTGCTGCGGTGTGGGGAGGGCATCTGACCTGGGGGAACTTTTTTTTGGGGGTGGGGGGTGTACTAAAAAATGGTTGTGGTTGTACTATAAAATGGATGACATTGCGCTCATAACTAAGTCGCTCACCGATGTTTACTTTGTGTGTAGGCGGGCACGGTGAGGGACTCCATGGCCAAGTCATTGTACAGCGCTCTCTTTGACTGGATCGTGTTCCGGACCAATCACGCTCTGCTCAACAACAAGGACCTGGAGGACAATTCAAAGGTGAAACCTGTCGATGCCCCGCGGGAGATCTGAGATTCAAGGACGCCCCGCCCCCCCCTTCCACCCGCGTGTATGCATGTGCATCTGTGCGTGCGTGTGTCTGAAACATTTGGGCAGATGGCGTTGAATTCCCTATCAGCTCACATTACCCCACCACCCCTCCGGTCCTGTGCCTGTGTGCTCATGTGTGTGTTGTTTTCCCTTGGCACTGACGTCATGTTGATCACGTCAATGTGGGTCGATGCCGTTGCGCTTGGTATCAAGCTTATTGTTGCTCCCTCCCAATAAGACAAATCATGACATATACTGTGAGCTGCGGAGGAGAAATAAAGGCTTCCTACCGTATTTTGACGGTCCGTTCACTCACAAAAGGGGCCGCCTTCTTCGGAGGAATCAAGAACTGGATCTTAATGGATCTTAAAAGGCAATTAAGAATCGGATCTAAAATGGCTAAAAATCCTCAAATAGAAACCTTTGCCAACTCGGGTGTGTAGGAGGGATGCCACTTAAATAGTGTGACATCACAGCAGCGCGGGTCGCCGACTCATCCGTTCAAAACTAAGAAAAATGTGAACCTCCATTTAAAAAAAAAAAAAAATCCCCTCCAACTTTCCTATTTGTTTCATCAGCCCTAATAGAATAAAAAAATATTGTTACTTTTTTTCAAGTACATCTGGGTTTTGAGTTGCTTTCACTTACTTTTGGTTTTTAAGTTTGACCCGCAGAGTAAATGAAACATTGCACAAATCGGATTTTACCATGCATTGTAACTCATAAATATGTTTCAAAAAACATTTCCACCTGGTGCTAAACCTAACCCTTCATTCAAAAATATGACCAACTATTTGACTGCTTTACTGATTATATTATTACGAAACCTGATGTGTTAGAGCGGAAAAAAGAAAAAAAAAAAACGAGGGCAGATTCAGAGTCAACACAAAACAAAAAAAGTTGTCTAGAAATTCATTGTGTGGGCATGTTGAGTATCGAATGTATCGCTTCAATGTATGAACCGGTGCGACTCATGACGAGGACTGCGCTTGGCCTCCCTGCAGATCTTTTCCATCGGCGTATTGGACATCTTTGGATTTGAGGACTATGAAAACAACAGCTTTGAGCAATTCTGCATCAACTTCGCGAATGAGCGGCTGCAGCACTACTTCAACCAGCACATCTTCAAACTGGAGCAGGTACGCTCTTGCTGCATTCTTTTGCTGCTTTGTTTTATTTTATGCCATTTCCCAGTGTTTTGGGGATCATTTTTTTGGGTCCCAATTGAATGCGGAAGAACCACTTTGTCACACTTCAACATCTTGGAGAGAAAGTCTTTGCAAAACAGCGGAACCGGTTGTACCAAAGGACTATTTTCTTTTTATTTTTACTCCCTGCGGGTGACCGTTTTTGCCCCCGTAGTGTATTCCCAGCCAGCTGCATTATGAACTGTCAGCTAAACCGAGTCGTGATCTGTTGTGGCATCGCGGCAGCGGGCGGGTCGTCGTCCGCAGGCTAAAAAAGAAGAAGACTTTCGAAATATCTGCCGTCTTGGAGAAGACGAGATCACAGGCTTCCGCTGTCCGGGCCATTCAAACTTGGACTGCCAGTGAAGGATGTGACAAGCTGAGTCTCTGCCGTTTTGTTGCCTTAATAGTAGGGGAGCATTGCAGTCAATAATAATAATAATAATAATAATATCTGGAGTTCAACAATATGGGCCCTGTTTTGCAAGTCCAGCGTAAAGTGCAATCTAACTATGGACGTGGGTGCAGTTTTCTTTCTTTTGGTAATCTCATAGATGGGTGCAGGTGGAAAGGGGTGTTTGTGCCGTTATGGGAGTGAACACCGCTGACTTGATTCCCGGCCAGTTGAAGCCGCTCCTCTCATTCCCTTTAAATTCAGCGCGGGTGAGGCATATATATATATAATATATATATATATATGTGGAGGAAGCATAACGGACTCGCTTGCTGGAGTCCATGTGGGAGATCAACGCGTGTCAAGTATGTTCATAAGAAGCTGCAAGATCTCCACTTGCGGATGATGTACAGTTGATTGCTTTAAAGTGGAGTACTTGGGGACCGCCTTCCACCCCGCATCGTGCGCCTGTGTATGAAATCCCACATGTCCGCGCAGCTTCGAATCTATCTACCTGAATCAAATCCACCAAAATTGCACGACACAAAGTTGGGGGGCACCCCAACTTAGACCTGCTTCCTGTTAGTCTAAAGTCAGGTCTACTTTCTCTCACCAATTTTTTTGATGTGCCCGGGGCTTGTCATATAAAATCTCCTTGACCCGCCGGAATGCCTAGGAAGGCGCAGCACTGTCCGCTAAATTCCCCGACATGGTAAACTTGACTTGCCCTGGCACAAAAATGAAGATGTGCCTGTTTTCATGCGTCTGTTGAACAAAAATAGAGCCCCATGTCTCCGCAAATCAGCACAGTGTAGTTCTCAGTGTCTTCACGTTTTCTGTGATTATCTTTCAACATGTATCACGTCTTGAACACAAATCTGTGAATTCACTACATCGGCTCAGGAAGACCACCGGGAGGCTTTGCTGTCATGTTGCGATGTTGTTCTTGCAGGAGGAGTACCGAGCTGAGGGCATTAGCTGGCACACCATCGACTACATCGACAACAGCAGCTGCATCAACCTCATCAGCAAAAAACCCACCGCGCTCTTCCACCTGTTGGACGAGGAGTGCAAGTACGCCACCTGCTGGACGCCACTGAACGTTTTGTGGAGAATTGGGAAGCTACTTTGTCCTCATTTGTCTGCTGTTGTTGATGTGATTTTTTTTTTTTTTTTTGTGGGGGGGTCGGCACTGCAGCTTCCCTCAAGCTTCCAATCAGACCTTGCTGGACAAGTTCAAGCGTCAGCATGAGGGAAACAGCTACATTGAGTTCCCCGCCGTCATGGAGCCCGCTTTCATCATCAGACACTACGCCGGGAAAGTCAAGTACGGAGTGAAGGTGAGCTCGTTTATGTTCTTGAAATCGGCCAAATCTGGCTGTGTCGTGTGCTTCGCCCCCAAGTGGCCATTTTTTCTTTTTATACCTTACGACGGTGGTCCCCAACCACCGGTCCGCGGCCCATTTGGTGCGGAGCATCGGCCACCCCGTCGATTACCTTCCGAAGGGCGATATAAATCGTGCTGGGTGATTGCATGATAGCTCCTAGTAGATCAGGTGGCGGAAATGTGCGCCACTGCATCCAATCGGAGCGCAGCTTTTCCTTCTCACGTTGGTTTGCAAGTTGAAGTCAACAGAATGCGCCAGTCAATGAAAGAAGGCCACAGAAAGGAACAGCAACAATGTGCAGCTTCAACGCCCAGCTGTGACTCGGCGGAATCTTACGAAGATGAAGCTAATTTGACAAGCGAAGCGATGAAGTGCAAAGCTTGAAAATTTGCGCACCCTGCCCGCGTAAGCATTAGCAGTTGACCACCCCACCCCCCCCTTAACTAGCGTGTCATCTTTTGAGCACTCACTTTTGCGAGTAGCAGTGACGTCCACGCTGTATGTAGGATCGGAACTTGATTATGTTTACATTTTAAGGGGGATTCATTATTCCTGGTGGGGTGTCTGGTTTTAGTAGTTTGAAAAAAATAAAAAATAAAACTGATAAAAATGTTGATTCATTCAATAATTATCTTTGTCCCAACTTAAGAGTATTGGGGGAGAAAAAAAACTATTGTTCTAGCATTTTGGTGTCATTGCCTTCTTTTCTTGACCGATACACAAAACAGAAGCAGTGAAACGAGGCGGGTAACACACACACAAAAAAAAATCCAACTTTTAGAGGCGGCATGAAAGGAGCTTGTGTTGATCCAGCACCGCTCGCGTATAATTGGCCGACGTCACAGATGAACCATCTTTTCTCTCCTTTCGTCCAAGCCTTTTATGATCTTCTTCTTGTCGTGCTGTCGACCTACTTTTTTTTTTTTTTTTCCTTCCTCCCCTCCCTCCCCCTTGCTAAATCTAATTCTCCCGCTCGCCTTCCAGCTGCGCTCTGATAAGAAGCACATGTGCTGGAAGCGCTCAAAGTGTTTTTGGATAATACGAATCCGTAGCAGTTGGTTCTCCTCGGCAGCGGCGAGGTGTCCTCCGTGTGCTGCGAGATACGTCGGGCTCGCCGGTGACGTGGAGGGAAGATCATTTCAAGCGCGGGTGTCCAAAGTGCGGTCTCGGGCCGTACCTGCCGCGTTAACGCGACCCGCCGCTGTCTTTTTCATGATCCACCTCCAGTGGTGGGCCGTGCATTTGTCATCATAGCGCCGCTATCACGTCGAAAACTCACAACTGTCGGAAACATGAGTGCAATGGAGTGGGGGGGGGGGAAATGATACTTCAAGATTTCTTGTCGTGTGGACAGGACTTCCGAGAGAAGAACACGGACCACATGCGTCCCGACGTGGTGGCCTTGCTGAAGAGCAGCAAGAACGCCTTCATCTGCGGTCTGATGGGCATCGACCCCGTGGCCACGTTCCGCTGGGCCGTGTTGCGCGCCTACTTCAGGGCCCTGGTGGCTTTCAGGGAGGCCGGACGCCGACACACTCACAAGAAGACAGGTCAGACGGCTGCGGTCATCACGACATTGCTATTACCGCCGTGACAGCTGATCAGTTCATCGACGACGGCGTCGATGATCGGTTCATCGCTTCGGCGCATCGCCTAAATTTATATTGTTGAACAAACGCTCCAAATTTCAGCCTCTCAATGGTAAATATTTTCAGATTTCTGTCGTCTTTTGTGAAAGCAGACCCCAACTCAACTGTACTTCGAGAGCACGTTAAAACCGCCGCCGCTGACATGGAGCAAGAATAATTCACGCAACAACAAAACAATAAATCGATATTGAAGACAGTCAGTCGCGAGCACAAAAACAGTCCAACTAAAAATCAAGTCTCGCGCTGAGTCCAAAGGCAGAGTAAAAATGAGTTTGAAAAGACGTTTTAAAGATGTATAGCGAGGGGGCATGCCGGACATTGAATCCAAAGAGAGGGACCAGCAACGGAAAATGCTCGATCCTCCGCTTAGTTCTCGGTACCTCTAATCGTGTCTGGTCCGTAGATCTGAAGCACCGGGAAGGGGCGTAGGAGCTCAGAGAGGTCAGGTGGAGTTAGAGTTTTGTGCTCCCTCTTATGAGTACCAATCAAGAGGCGAGCAGCAGCATTGTGGACCAACTGGAGACGCTTCATGGAGGATTGTCTGACTTTTCCGATTCTCACGTGTTGGGACATGGCAGGATGCGATCGAGTGACGATGCAGTTGGCTCCCGTTGCGATGTGATGAGATGCGATACAGTTCATTGCTGTTTTGATACGATACGCGACCGTTCACTCAGATTACTGTGTACAATAAAATGCCACGCATCAATTCACTTCATTTATAATGCAATATAATGTAGTACGTCCGGACTCTCGTTGTATGATTCAATCCGATTACCAACTTAGCATACTTGTTTTCGACACGTCTCTCGAATTCCGCGGTAATCCGAGATGGTAACGATAGGGGGAGATTTTTTGCGAACCTTGAACGAGCCTGTACAAAATTAGGTCACCAACAACGCAGAGATGATTTGAGACACAAATTGCTTTCACGTTTGACGAATTTCTTCTTCTTCTTGCCAGGTCATGATTCCCCCCTGCCTTGCGCCACCGTCAAAACTGTCGACAGCTTCAGTTTCCTTCATCACCCGGTTCACCAGAGGAGCCTTGAGATCCTTCAAAGGTGCAAAGATGAGAAATACAGTAAGTAGGGCCACGATGGCGTCCGTTCAATTGTAGGGAGGATTTTTTATTTTTTTTAGTCAGGATGAGGCTCCAACTTGGTAACATTTATGGAACAAACTGGACAGTGTCGCAATCGTGGAACGTCTATTCCTGCCACAAATTGTCTGCGCCGATATGATTTAAGAGAAGATATTAGTCCAACTCAATTCAATTATACTCATACTGGTCATATGTGAAACTGGCCCGCTTTTCGAGCCTTAAAAATTCCTGTAAGCACCCGTCTCTAATGTCGTTTTTGGAAGCTGGCGCCTTGTTAAAAGGCTTTACGATAAGCGGCAAATTTCCAAGGTGAGTTCAAGAGAAAACGCTTAAAAATCGATTCCAGGTGAGAAGCTTTCATGATAGCAGCACAGCATAAGAAATAGAACCTCGGCTGCACAATTTCCTTTGTGACTGATCGGGAAAAAAAAAAAAAAATCAATGGAATTCGTCCCCCGTTGACTGGCAGGAGCTCACACGTCGTGTCAAGACTGGACATTCTTTCACATTTTGCCATATGTGTCATTCTCTTCTTCCAACTTGTTGCGAAACGGAATCGGATTCGTTCCACAGAAACTGTGCGACAAGACAAAATGGTCCAAATGTAGGGGGAAAAAAAGATTTTGTCGCGCATAAATGTTTGTGTTGTAAATAAGCGTGACGGCGTGTGGGTGCCCGTCCGTTCCTGCCGTTATGGCGAAGGATTTTTCCTAAAGACGTCTCGGAAGAGAAATCCTCAAAGATTCCTGGCTCGAGGGGAGTTCCATCGTGGAGGAAGTCAAAATACACGACAAGACGATTGAGGATAAAAACGATGTTTGTATTTGGTTGAAGTGAAACATGTCAAATGTGTTCCCCCCCCCCCCATGAAAATTTGTCACCAGATTGATTTCAAAATACTTCTAAATTCATATTACATATTTGAATTTTTTATCTATTATTTCAATAGGGTATGTAATATTTTGACTTGGGTTTTATTTAAGATTTTTTTAACATTATTTTTGTAGTCATTTTAAATTAGCGAAATATACAATCGTGTTTTTTTAAATAAATTATTGAGACTATTTTTAAAAATAATATGAATTAGAATTGATTAGTGATAGTCTTTATATGAAATCCATTTTGTTCACATATTTCGTTTATTAAATCATTTTCAATTAATTAAAAAAAATGCTCCCATATCATCAGGGTTTCCGCTCCAAAAATTCGGTTCCATAGGGGGAATTTAATTTTGGTACGGTATGTATAGAAAGTACATCGTGGTTGTCGGGGGGGTTACAGTCGTTTTATGAATGATGAAGTGACATAAATTCATAAATTGCTCCTTTTTTTGGTTTATCAATGATCTGATCATTTGTTCATCGGTGACGTTCTTTTCCTCGCTTTGCGTCCCGCGCAGGCATCAGCAGGAAGAATCCTCGCTCTCCGCTGTCACACCTTCAAGGCGCCAACGCCCCGAACGAGAAAGCCAGCTGGTGAGTCCTCAAAGTCATCCATCGCTCTTCTTCCAACTCGCGACGTTCTTCGCAGCCGACAGTCGGTCTTCCCTCATTTTTGCTTCCGTCAACACATCTGCAAAAAAAAAAAAAAAAAAAAAAATGGAAGCCCGTCTTGTTGTTTCAGCGCTTTTCATTCCTCCTCCGCCACTGCAGGGATGGTTTCGGCGTCGGCTGCAAAGGTCGCCGCCCGAGCTCGGGGCGCCTGTCGTCGGCGGGCAGCCCGACGGCCCTGGGAGAGGACGGCATCTTCGTCAATTCGTCCAACAGCAAGCTCCTGGAACGAGCTCAGGGAATCTTACTGTGAGAACCCGAGCCTGCGTGTTGTCGAGTCAAACCCTTTTTACGATTGCCTAAATGATCCCAAAATATTTCTCTCTCCAAGTACCACCATCTCGACCAACAGAGGCTTTAATTTTCCTTCACCCCCCTTTTTTTTTTCTTTATTAGGCCTAAGTGGTTGTAGTAGTAGTGGTGATTTTTTTGGGCGAAAGTGAGATTTACGCTTCATTTATATATCAAACAAAAAAGGAATACCAACAAGCATTTTCTTTAACTTCATTTTTGGTTGATGAAGTTGCTGACTCTGCAATTAATTTCTGCTAATAAAATGATCATTTCTCTCGTTCTTTAGAAGAAACAAAAACTGCAAAATCAAGCCCAGCCTCCCCAAGGTGGGACACATCTTTTAATAATTAAACTTGACTTCTTCTATACTTATTGTTGCACTAAGGTGTGTGGTTTTTTTCCTTTTTTTTTTTTTAAATATCATAGCACTTGCTAGACGTCAAGTCTCTGCGCCACCTGAGCAGCGTGACGCTCCACGACCGCATCACCAAGTCACTGCTTCACTTGCACAAGAAGAAGAAACCGCCCAGCATCAGTGCACAGTTCCAGGTCAGTGGTTGATCTTTGGTGCCCCCAGCTGGACATTTTCTGGAAATTACACCCGAAATCAACCAGGCTAAAAGCATGCCGAATAGCAGCCGGGAAAGGTCTTCTTTTTTTTTTTTTTTTCACAGAAAATTCTCCAGAATTGAAGGAGATTGTTTCTCCCATGAAAATTCAAACAATCCGTACACATGCCTGACGAATCCAATTGTCAGAGATGTTTGTCTTTTCCTGTTTTTCTTTAAAAAAAAAAAAAAAAACTGAACAAGAATACTATAAAATAAATGGTCACCTTTTCCAAAATATTAAAAAAGCGTCTTGACATGATATGTTTTACTAAACTGGATTGATTGGACAAGACAAGAGTGTGTTGCATGTTGCAGGCTTCCCTCAGTAAACTGATGGAGACTCTCAACCAATCAGAGCCATACTTTGTCAAGTGCATCCGCTCCAATGCTGAGAAGGTAAAAAAAAAAAATCTAGAATTGCACTGATGTCATTTACTTGACTTTTTTATTCAATTGAAACCAAAACATTGTTTTTTTCTCTTCGTCAGCTCCCCTTACGTTTTAATGACAGCTTGGTGCTCAGACAGCTGCGATACACAGGAATGCTGGAGACCGTCCGGATACGACAATCGGGCTACAGCATCAAGTACACCTTCCAGGTAATGCTCATCCAGGCCCGACCTTGGTTGCTAACTGACGGTATGATCACCATGAGCAAAAATATCGTGGCATCACGTTATGAAAATTATAATACAATAAAAACAGCATTTTCTTTTCTCCATTGAACGCAATCCATTTTATTTTAAAACAAAAAAAAGCCTATTTAGCACATTAAGAAATGTGTACCATGTCAGGTTTAAATGAATAAACAACCCCCCCAAAATATGTGAACAAATCTTCTTCTGTTTTACTTTGTCTTGGCAAGTCAAAGTGTAATTGTCGAACTTTTTTCAAAAAGACGCGTGGGCTACTAACTGCTCCTCCTCCACCGTGTGTAACTGCTCACCCTTCCCCTCGCTGCTTGCCGAGGAAGAGAATAAGGTTGGGATGGTGGTGGGGGAATCAAGCTTTCATTTTAGAGGACATCATCGTCGTCTTCTTCTCTGCACTCAACTCAAATCATCACGATCATGGTTTGAAAAAAAAAAAAAACATTTGACGGCGATCTTCTTTGCAGGATTTTGTTGGTCACTTTCATGTGCTGCTGCCTCGAGGCACAAGCGCAACCAAGTCGGGCATCAGGGAGTTCTTCAGGCAGATCCATTTGATGCCGGCTGGCTACCAAGTGGGCAACACCACGGTAACGACGCCTGCAAACCACCCCTCGTGTCCTCTCGTCACGTTTGCTCATGACTGTGAGTGAGCGCAAACATCCCGCCGCCCTTTAGGTGTTCCTGCGGGAGGCGGAGCGCCAGCGTCTTCAGACACTCCTCCACCAGGAAGTTCTACGGCGCATCGTCATGCTGCAGCGCCGCTTCCGGGCGGTCCTGGAAAGGAAGACCTTTGTCAGGATGAGGCTGGCTGCGCGTATTATCCAGGTGGGCGTTTGTAACCGACTGCAGGTTTTTCCTGTCAAATCAGTGTCATGGTACACAAATGATCATTTCGTTTCACGACAGCGGCGGCTTGCCCTAAAAACGGACGTCTTTTGCCTCATTTTCCTGCTCTCTTCCGCAGCGATGGTGGCGATGCTGCCTTCTCAGAGAATCCGCCGTGTATCTGAGGCTGGAGGAGGAGCAAGCGGTCGTGTGCCTTCAGACAGCGTGGAGGCGCTGCAGGCAGCGCCGAACCTTCCTGCGCTGGCGCCGCTCGGCGGTGGCCATCCAGAGGAGCTGGAGGATCTACTGCCGTCGAAGGACCGCGGCGGCCATCGCGGTCCAGGCGGCCTGGAGGGGATTCGTTGAGAGGAGACGATACTGTGAGACCTACAGGACTGTGATGCTGCTGCAAGCAATGGGACGGGGTTACCTGGCCCGCTGCAGGTACACAAAATAGGACGAGGGCAGGATTGGATCTGAAGGGGGCCTGATTTAGTAAAAATTTCAAATCTTTAGGTTGCAAGAACTGAAGCAGCAGCGCGAAGCGCCAGCACCCGTCATTCAAGGACCCAATGACGACTTGGCACCGTCGCAACGGGATGGAGTACGGAGCCTCTCTGGCGAACCAGCGGACGACTCTGCACTCGCCGAGAAAGACTCGGAACAAAGTCGGAGTGTGGACGAGGCGAGCCACAAGACTCGATCTAAGAGAGAGAGCAGGCGAATGCGAGAACTGGAGCAGGCACAGTTCAGCTTGGAGCTGCTGAAGGTTCGAACGGGCCATGTTGGCACGCCACCTGAAGGAGAGGCGGCACCGGACGACAGCACCTTTCCCCTGGAGGACCATCGCAGAGCTTCACCTCTCGGCTCTCTTGACAGCTTCGAGATGTTCACTGTCGAGGACATGGAGACCGAAGGTTCCGGAGGTTTTCGATCCCAACCGACTGCGCCTCGGGAATGTTTCATTTCAGACCAGCAATCTCAAGAGATTCCGGCGAGAGATTCAAACCACAACGAAACGCCCAAGATGGAGTCCCCTCTCAGGACTGAGGGTCCCCGGGCAACATTTTACATCGCTTCTGACCAAAGTCCAATTCGAGTACCAAACTGTGAAAGTCCCGGCAAATCTTACAAGGACAGAAGGGAGTCCACCTCTCGAAAGCCTGTTGTGGTCTTGATCAGTATGCAAAAGGAGAGTCCTCTGGAAGAGGGGCCGCTGGTACCCCACACTCCAGAAGGAACACGTCCCAGTTCCCAATTGACACACATATCAGGTTTGGAGGTCGGATCTCCGATTGAATCACTCAATGAAAGGACTACACCGTCCACCTTTGATGAAGGGAATTCCTCCATGGTGCCGTCTTCAACGCCTCATGAAGCAAGTCCAAAAGTACCCGGCCTTTGCTCCTCCCAAGGGGACATCAAGATCACCCCGGAGCCCAAAGCCAGCGTTTCTCCCGTTGCCCCGGGTCAGCAGAAGAAGAAAACGGCCCCACCCGGGAAGGGGGTGCCGAGTCCGCTCCTTGACACGAAGCCGCCCAAAGCCCAGAAGAAGAGCTCAGCCCAGACTGTGATTGTCAACATGACGGAGAAGCCCTCCAACGCTGTCTTCTCGCCACCCAGACGCAAGCTTCCATTCTCCAAGTAAGTTCAAAACATGGCAGGACCAGATTAGCTCCTGTCGTCTTCCGATAGCTAGCTACCGTTTGGCAAAAGTATTGGCTCACCCGCCTTGACGCGCATATGTCCTTGAAATGAACCAGGAAGCCAGGGCAGGGAGCCCACAGATGGAGTTCTATGATCACTCCTACGAGCTCCAGTTAGGAGGCGAGCAGCAGTATTTTGGACCAACTGGAGATGCTCGAGGGAGGACTTCTGGACCCCAAAATAACATGCATTACAATAATCCAGCCGAGAGTTTACGAAGGCATCGATTATGGTTTTGCAGTGCTGTTGTGAAATCAGAGGCTTTACCTTAGCCCTCTAATTTGTCACCAAGGTGTTCTGTCGGGTCGAAGAAGCGGCCATCCCTGTATTTTTTTCCACAAATTTGGGAGCATGGAATTTCAGCGGCACTAAGAAGCCAACATTTTGGACAATTCCTTGCGCTTCCATCAATGTGACCTACTCACATGTTCTCCGAGATTTATTTGGATTGCGGGGGGAAAATTTTTTATTTCCCCCCCCGGGAGTACCTGGCACATATTGTTTACAAATTTGAGAATAAAGGTCTTCATCATGTCATACATATTTGACTGCAAATATTCCTTTGCAGGTCCGACAAGGATTTGGTGAACCAGGGAAGGTCTTTGTCCATGTTCAGAGATGATTCCAGAACCAGAGAGGTAGAGTTACACTTCAATACACGCAAAACCCGCTGCGGCCGGGTCGACTGTATACTTGTGCCAACAAAGGCTGACTTTTAAGACTGACCTGATCGCTTCATTACTATTGCAGTGAAAATATTTTGACTGACAGACATTTTATGAAGACACCGGGGAAGTATTTTAAAACTGTATAATATGTCTCCATGCAAGTGAAGTTACAAAAAAAAAAAAAAAAGGATTCCAGTATTGCGAAAATGCGCCGAGGCTTGCGGGAGTTGCGCTTTTGATGTTCCTTTGGTTGCCCGGCAGCAGGTGGGCCGCCCGGGCCCCAAAAAGAAACCGCGCATGTCCCGGACGCGCTCCGACTTCCTCACGCGCTGTAACTCGGAGGGAGCCACGCAGTCGGACGACGACGACGACGAATACTACGTCCCCGCCCACTCTCGCACGCTGCCCCCCTCCCTGTGCCCCCCGCGCGCCCGCCCCAAGGCCGACTGTCACAGTGACTCCGAGATGGTAAATCACGTGGCCTTACGGGGGACCCCCTTCCGTTTTCTCGCCATCTCCGTCGACTTCTCGGGGAGGAGCCTTCTCACTTCACCCGCTCTCTCTGTAACGACCAAAGTGTGTGTTTGAAAAGATTCCAACGTTTCTCTCTGCTTGGAAAAGGGAGCGTCGCGACGGCGAGGACGCTGTGAGCTGCTGCACGGCCTCCACTGATCAACCCCTGAAATAGAGAAAATGTGCTGATGCATGCTAGAACGGTTCAAAAGTTTCAACTAATGACGCTTGGGCCGGAGCATCGCTTCCTGTGCTCCATCTCTTCCTTGTTACTAATCAACATTCAATAGAGCATGAAAAGAGAATCTCGATCACCAGCCCCAAAAAGTGAGGGCAGTTGGGCGAAATTTCAAGACGAACCGAAAATGCACTATAACCGCTACTGGGGGGGGAACAAGATGACCGACAGCAAAATGAATCGCCCAATGCTTGACTTCCCTGCCTTTCTGTGACTCTTCCGGTCCCTCTGTATCTCTCGCGCAAACCCGCCGATGACACTTTGTGACACTCTGAGCTCAGCGGCCACTTCGCTCTGTTTTTATTGAGCGGAGAATAGCAGCGCCGTTAGACTTTTTAGCCACTCGACGACGATGCTGCGACCACGTGGAACTACAACTGCGAGAAGCTTTGACCCCGCCCCCATTGACCCCACCCGACCCCAATCCACTGTGGAGCCAAATATGTTCCAGAGGAGACACGAGTTGAATTCTAAAGTGTAAAGAAGGTCATATTAAGTTCACCTGTCAAGGTTATCGTGCATTTTAGCTCCATCTTGAAAATTCGCCTGAGAGTTTCCTTCCTTTTTTGTGAGGCGCATACGGCGAGCGTACGTCGTCGTAGGATGCATCGTAGGGTCAAACGTTACGGCTTTCTCGTCACTGACATCTGAAGCGTCCGCCGAGGACCCCGTCGGAACCCTTCCGCGTCATTCTGCGTTCTCGCCCTCATCCTATTATCATCCGTCGCAGGATTCCCACAAAGATCCCAAGAAGATCCATAAGACCATGTCATCGGGGGATCTGGGCAAAGTCGAGGCGCTGAGGAAAACCTCCAGTCAGGATGGAAGGTAAGCTGACGCCTGGGTGAAGGGAAACCAATCGTGCACATTCAGCCGCCGCAGAGTGCGCAGACATCCGAAATGATTTTTGAAATGCGACGGACCAAAAATGTGTCTTGTCATTCACTGCTGAAATGTACCAATATGTGCGTTTGCGCATGTTTTTTTTTTTTTTTTCTCATCAGAATGAGAGGAAAGATGCGATTCTGGAGTAAAAGCAAACAGGGCGGGAAGAAAGTGTCCAGGGAGAAGCTGGCCAGCAGGAGTGAAAGTGCTGCTGAGACGCCCGGTAAGAGATGTCCTGTGGACAACGGCGGTGACTGCCAAGGTTATTACACTCAATGAAAACTAAAAAAAAACATTTTGGTGAACAAAATAAAATTAAAATGTTTAAAAAAACCAAAGCCAACTGAAACCACCTGGTTGCCGCAGAGCATTCAACAACCTTATTTTTCCTTCTGTGTTGTGTCCATCAGAGCGTCCGTCCCCTCCTCGCAGTCCAGATGCGGAGGCCTCATCGCCGCGCGGGAGGCGGGACAGCAAGGAGAACAAGGAGCCGTCTCCCAAGATGAAGCGGCGGCGCCG